TGCTGATGAGACTGAGGGAACTATTTTTTTAGCAACTAATAATAGTTTCAAATCTAACAATGAGTGGATTTTAAATTATGGTTGTTCTTATCATATATCCCAGACGGGATTTATTTACCACATATGAATCTATTGGAGGTGGAGTTGTCTTGATGGGCAACAATAATGTCTGCAAAGTTATTGGAAAAGGTACAGTCCGAATAAAAAATACACGATGGTGTGGTGAGAACTCTCACCGATGTTAAATATGTTCCTGACTTGAAGAAAAATCTCATCTCTTTGGGCACTCTAGAATCTCTTGGGTGCATGTACACATGTGAAGGTAGAGTTCTGAAAATTTCTCATGGTGCTCTTGTGATCATGAAAGCACGCAGATCTGGTACGTTGTATACTCTTTTGGGATCTACTGTTACAGGTGCTGCTGCAGTTTCAATATCAGATAAATCAGATTCTGATATCACCAAATTGTGGCATATGCGATTGGGGCAAATGAGTAAAAAAAGTCTTTTCATCCTCAGCAAAAGAGGTCTCTTATGTGGCCAAAGTATCAGAAATATGGAGTTATGTGAACATTGTGTGTTCGGGAAGCAGAAAAGAGTCAGCTTCAAATCTCCAGCGATTCATAGAACAAAAGGTACTTTGGATTACATTCATTCAGATCTTTGGGGTCCTTCACGTACCCCATCAAAAGGTGGTGCCAGGTATATTTTAACTTTCATTGATGATTATTCAAGGAAAGTTTGGGTTTATTTCCTGAAAAATAAAAGTGATGTTTTCTTAAATTTCAAACAATGAAAAATTTTGATTGAGAAGCAAGCAGGAAAACAGGTTAAGCGGCTTAGAATAGATAATGGCTTGGAATTTTGTAATGATGAATTCAACGAATTTTGCAAGAATGAAGGAATTGCTCGACATCGTATTGTGAGAATGACACCTCATCAAAATGGTGTGGCAGAAAGGATGAATAGAACTCTTTTGGAAAGGGCTCGTTGCATGATTTCAAATGCTGGGTTAACAAATGCCTTTTGTGCAGAAGCTATCTCTACAGTTTGTTATATTGTCAACCGAGCTCCTTCTTCACCTTTGAACTTTAAAACTCTAGAGGAAGTGTGGTCAGGTACTCCTGCTAATTATTCTGATTTAAAGATATTTGGTTGTCCTGCATACATGCATGTAAATGATGGAAAATTAGAGTCAAGGGCTAAAAAGTACATTTTCCTTGGGTATGCATCTGGGGTGAAAGGATACCAACTATGGTATCCTGATCCCATGGAACAAAAATTTATAATTAGCAGAGATGTAAACTTTGATGAATCCTCTATGTTACATTCTAGAAAAGAGTCTTCTAGTTCTTGTGATACATATAAAGGAAAGTGTACACAGAACCAGGTGGAGATTGAGATTGGCATTCCTTCTGAGCCAAGCTCACCAACTTTGGAGTAAAATACAATTGAAACTCCTGAAGTTGAGACAGAAGCTGAAATTCCTGAAGTTGAGACTCCTGAAGTTGAACCAGAAGAAGAGGAGTATTCTATAGCCAAACATAAACCAAGAAGAGAAGGTAAACAACCATTAAGGTTTGGAGATTATGTTGCATTTGCTTTTTCAGTTGCACAGAAAACTGAAGAAATTGGAGAACCATCAAAATATTCAGAAGCAGTTTCTGGTGCTGACTCAGCCAAGTCGCTAATTGCAATGAATAAAGAAATTGAGTCTCTCCACAAGAATGGTACTTGGTCTCTTGTGAAACCGCCATCAGGAAAAAGAATTGTTGGTTGCAAATGGGTCTTCAAGAAAAAGGACGGCATTTCAGGGGTTGAAGATGCGAGATATAAGGCACGATTAGTTGCAAAGGGCTATAGTCAGGTACAATGAGTTGATTTTAATGATATTTTCTCACCTGTTGTTAAACATAGCTCTATTCGTATCTTGCTTGCCTTCGTTGCCATGTATGATTTGGAATTAGAACAACTTGATGTTAAGACAGCTTTCTTACATGGCGAACTTGAGGAACAAATATACATGCATCAAACCGAAGGATTTGAAATTGAAGGAAAAGAAGATCATGTTTGCTTGTTGAAGAAATCCTTGTACGGATTAAAGCAGTCTCCAAGACAATGGTATAAAAGGTTTGATTTCTTTATGTTGGGTCATGGTTATTCGAGGAGCATATATGATAGTTGTGTTTACTTTCGGAAGTTAAATGATGGTTCATTTGTGTACCTATTATTATATGTTGATGACATGCTCATTGTTGTTAAGGATTTAACAGAAATTCACAATTTGAAAAGTCAGCTGAAAAGTGAATTTGAGATGAAAGATTTGGGAGCAGCTAAGAAAATCCTTGGCTATGGAGATCAAAAGAGATCGAAAAGCCAACAGGCTATTTCTGACCCAGAAGAAGTACTTGGAGAAAGTCTTGGAGAGGTTTGCATTAAAGATGCTAAACCAGTTAGTACCCTTCTTACTGCTCATTTTAAGTTATTAGCTGCTCGGTCCCCGCAGTCAGAGGAAGAAGAGAGGTACATGGCACAAGTTCCTTATTCTAGTGCAGTCGGCAGTATTATGTATGCAATGGTTTGTACACGTCTAGACATTTCACAAGCAGTGGGCGTGTTAAGCTGGTATATGGCTTGCCCTAGTAAAGCACATTGGCATGCTGTGAAATGGATTCTCAGATACTTGCGAGGTACTTCAAACACATGTTTGGAGTTTGGGAGAAATACTAACACTTTGGTTGGTTTTGTAGACTCAGAATATGCAGGTAATCCTGATAAAAGAAGATCACTGACAGGCTATGTATTTTGCATCGATGGTTGCGCTATTAGTTGGAAAGCTACATTACAACATGTAGTAGCTTTATCTACTACCGAAGCAGAATATATGGCAGTGACCGAGGCGATCAAAGAAGCTTTATGGTTGAAGGGTCTATTTGCGGAACTCAGTTTACACCAAGGTGGTATTACCATTTTCTGTGATAGTCAAAGTGCCATTCACTTGACTAAAGATCAAATGTATCATGAGAGGACGAAGCACATTGATATAAAATATCATTTCATCCGAGAAACCATTGTTGAAAGAAAAGTCTCTGTTCAGAAGATCAACACTAGAGACAATCCTGCTGACATGTTCACAAAACCTCTTCTAATGTACAAGTTCAAGCTTTGCTTCAACTTGATTGGCATTTATGAAGAATGATTTTGCCCATTGGGATTTTTACGGAGAAGGTGGTGCAAATTTACTATATATAAGCCGAAATTAGGCCAAGGTGGAGATTTGTAATATGGTCAAATTTTCATGACATTTGCCATGACATAATATCCATTATAACAAATTTGTGGTTCATCACATTTGCCATGACATAATATCCATTATAATAAATTTGTGGATCATGACATTTGCCATGACATAATATCCATTATTAGGACAAGGATTTCTTGCTATAAATAGAGGAGTTTCTCCTCATTTGAAAACATACCAATTCAAGAGCTTTTCACTCTTCTCTTTCTTTCTCCTCCTTTATTTCATTATAGAGTAATTTTGTAAGAGAGTGAGTGTTGGAAAACACTTGTGTGAACCCTTTCTTTGGAGTGATCTTGTGAGGTTATTCTCTTGGGGTATTTGGTAATTAGAGTATTACTCTAGTTTTGTACTCTCTTTTGTATTCTTGGTGGTATAGTGAAATTATTTTTCTCCGCTTGTGGACGTAGGTCACCTTGACCGAACTACGTTAAATTTGTGTCTTTTTTATATTCTTTAATTGCCGTTATTATCAACTTCTATTGTCTTTATTATTGTCATTATACCGTTGTTTGGCTAAATTCTGCACTATCCGGGTTCCCGATCCTAACACTATTAACAATACAAATTCGGGAAAACGGAGTAATATTTTTAAAATTTTGTATTTGTATTAATTAAGTGTTAAATTACAAAATTTAACACTGGATCAATGGTTAGAGCTAAGTGCTAACAATGCTTTGAAATGGAGCAACAATTTTGTTCAAAAACTAATTCACTAGTTAAAAAGTGAGATTTTTGCAATTTTGACCAGTTTGTACACATTAAACCATTTAATTAGAAAAAAAATTATCTAATATTTTTTTGCTTATGCTAGAATTTGAATCATGATCTCCTATTCCTTAACTTAACGTTCTATATTTCCGCGTATATATACCTAGTGAAACGCAGCTAAGACTTATTAGTAATTTAATATGAAACCTCAAGACAATTGGGATTTAACGCGGTAATAACAGCTCTCCCCTTTTGACCATTTTCCTTTTGTCCTAAGAAAATTTGGAATTTAATCAAACCTTTCATTTTCCCCCGCCGTTGAAACGTAAACCATAAGTCTAATAAATATCCTACTTATTCAAAATATTATCATAAAAAACAGAATATAACAAAAAATCTACTTGGATTTCTGGACCAATTACAAAAGAAAAGATTAGTCACTCATCCAATAGTTTTTCAACATTTGTGTGTAACAATTTCATGCGTAACGGCCCACCGTAATAATACACTACTACTAGTCATACTCAATTATAATACAACAACAGAAAGAAAAAAATTAATTCATTCTACAGTTATTTCATAAGAAGGAGAGAGAAAGTAGATAAAAAAGAAATAAAAGAGGAGAAAAAAAAAAAAACAATAACCCCCCCACCCCCACTAGTTTCGCCCCTTTTTCAGTGCTTTAACCCAAAAACTCTTATTCACAACTTTATTTTTTCCTTTACTAGCAATTCTCCAACTTCTTCTTCATCTTCTACCTTACAATTTTTCCTTACCATAAAACCAACGTAAACTTCTCTGTACCTTAAAAAACACAAAACTTTTTTGCCCTTCTTGTTTTTGTACTTATTTTTTTAATGGAGTTGATTGAGGCAAGAGCATTAAAATCCAGTTTTCTTTCGGACATGGCCATGAAAACTAGCCAACAGGTTTTTCTTGACGATATATGGTGTGTAACGGGTATTAATAACGTACCAAGTGATGATTTTTCAGTTGATGACCTTTTGGACTTTTCTGACAAAGATTTCAAAGATGGCCAGTCTTTACAAGAATTGCATGAAGATGATGAAAAAGACTCTTTTTCTGGCTCTTCACAGCACAAAAATTCTCAAGTTTCAAACTTTTCATGCATGGGTAGTTTTTCCGGCGAACTTCCTGTCCCGGTAACAATTTATGGCCAAAATTTGCAATTTTTTTGGTTTATTTTTGTAAAGTTTGGTTTTTTATGAGAAACCCATTTCAACAGGTTGATGAATTGGAGAATCTTGAGTGGTTATCACAATTTGTGGATGATTCCACGTCGGAATTCTCCTTGTTGTGTCCTGCCGGCAGTTTCAAGGACAAAACCGGTGGCTTTCAAGTTTCCCGGTCCGAACCGGATGTAAGACCGGTTGTTCAGAAACTGAGAGTTCCATGTTTTCCTTTACCGGTTGTTCAGAAACCTAGAACTAAGCGGTCCAGACCGGCTGGAAGAAAATGGTCCTTTTCGTCACCAACAGTTTCAGCAGACTCGTGTTCACCCACCTCTTCATCATACGGTTCGTCACCGTTTCCTCCGGTTTTATACGCGAACCCGGTTCTAGACGGCGACTTGTTTTGTAGCGTAGAAAAGCCGCCGTTGAAAAAGCCGAAAAAAATTTCAACAGCAGAGACCGGTTCGGGTCGTCGGTGTACTCATTGCCAGGTCCAGAAAACACCACAGTGGCGAGCCGGTCCATTGGGTCCAAAAACTTTGTGCAACGCTTGTGGTGTTAGATACAAATCCGGTCGGCTTTTTCCGGAATATAGACCGGCTTGTAGTCCGACTTTTTCTCAGGAAGTTCACTCGAATAGTCACCGGAAAGTTTTAGAGATGCGGCGGAAGAAGGAGAGCGGTGAGGTTATTGACTCCGGTCTAGCTTTCAACTTGTTGAGTTTTGAAATGAATGAGAACCCGGTTCATTCTGAACCGGTCTAAAATGGTCTTAGTGCGGCTGCGGTTCAAATGTGAAAATTTTGGTAAATTGTGGGTTGTAGGAGGGTAGACATAGAAATGTAGCGTATTTTAGGGAGGTTATTGTAATTTTACTTTTAGTATCTTTTTTCTATTCTCTTTTGTAGTATAAAAATCTAATTCATTTGCAGTTTAGTGGTCAATCTTATAGGAACTATTCATTTGTTTTTAAATTTTTGTTTTGATTAAGTTGGAATAATTCAAAACGGTTGAACGGTTTTTGACACTCGGTGAAAATCGACTTGCAGACATATTTTACCGAGCCTTCAATTAAGAATTTAAAATGAATATCAATGTACATCACAAAAGAATAATTCTCCATACGCCAAAAGTATGGTATATTTATTGCGGCACCAAGTACAATAATCCTAGGACCGAATGGTCATAGATTTTGCAAAATTATTTTGATAAATACATGTTTATTCATAAATTTTATCCAAATTTTGGCAAATTTTCAAAATTCAAAATCAAATCAAGAGCTGGTTTTGGCCCAAAATATTACTATTATATTTTTTAAAAATTACTCCAAACTTTTATATTTTATAAAAGAGCCCACTATTTATTATTTTGTAACAATGTTGTTTCGTCTTCTCGGTTATCTGATAGTGTATTATAGTTCATTATAAAAATAATAATTTTGTAACAAATTTATTTATGTTCAGGACTATGGTATTGTGATAATGAATATTATTGATGAAGGTACTATTGGGTATTTGTAATAGTTTTTAGAACTTGTGGGTATAAGTCATGTTTCATGTTTTTAAAAAAAAAAAGTGAAATATGTTTTGAAAACTGATGTCCAAACACATTTTCATCTCCAAACCAACCTTCAACAAATAAGATTTTTCAAAACAAATTTGGGAATCTATGGCCTAACATTAGTTTAGCTAGTTTTTGGACATAAATTTGATTGAAACATGAAAAAGTATTTTTTCAAGTTGTGTTAAAAAATAATTTTTAAAATTTAAAGTTATGTTTGGACAATATTTTATTTGAAGAAAAATTGAAATTTTGTGAGTGGAAGAAAATTTTTAACCCAAAACCTTTTTGGGAACTTGGGAATTTTTGAAACTTTTTTTCCCCAAAATATGATCATATTTAATAAACAAATAATTTTTTATTTTTTATTTTTTAAAAAAATGAAGCCAATTTTTTTAGCCAAACGGAACCTTAGTATGAGCTATTATAAACGTGGGTTTATTTGGAACAATAACTTTGAGCTTAGAATCGAATTTTTAGTGTAAAATTTATTGAAATTGTCGAAAATATTGACATAGAACTCAAAAAAAAAAAAAAAAAAAAAAAAAAAAAAAAAAATTGTTGTACGAAGTATCCCGCTTTTATGCAGAGTTCAGAGAAGAACCATATTCCAAGGAGATATGATGTACAAACCCGTGACCTACCATAATACAAGTATCAATGATTGACTCCATAACTCGAATTTGTAATTTATATAGGTCACAAAAAAATAACTTTACCATTGTTTCAAGTTTGAACTCAATAATTAAAATTGTGTAAAGATTTCATTTATTCTTCGTCTTTTAGAACACTGATTTAGAACAGTCAACATCTCTTGTTGATCTGTTAATTTAGTGATCAAAGATTGTAAATTGAGAAGTACGAAAAAGAAAGAAAAAAACAGAGGAAAATTCAATGCTTTTGGTCAGTGTGTGTTTACTTATCCTCTGCCAAATTCGTAACGTTAAGGCAAAGTGTGGTACGTGGGTAAATGGGGGCCCATTTCGTATTTACGTCATTAGGTGGGTTGGAGCCCACTAATGGTGGTGTTGTGCGTGGTATATATGCCACTTTTGGTGTGTTTTGAAATATCTCTATAATTATAACACTCCATCAGTAATGACTTGTGACCACTTTTAATGGTTGCTGACTCACCACTATTCTTCTTCTCTCCAATTAAAACGACTCAATTAAAATTACTCAGTATAATCGCTCCACAAAATAATAGCCGATAAAATATATTATTTTTATATAATAATATATACGTATGTTTTTGTATATTTAACTAGCAGATATAATTATTTTTTGCCCGGCGGCTAAATGATGTGTAACTTGCTCTTTATTTTTGGACTTCATTTTCTTGGGCCCTGTCATGGGTTTTGGATGGATGGGCTAATTGGGTTGGGTCAGACAGAGATAAAAATAGATGGTCTATCCATCATGATGCCCTTATGGGGTAAAAATTTAGAGTTTTTAGTCAAAATTGTCCCTTATCTTTAAGAGTAGTTCTAACTTTGTCCTTTAACTATTCCCTCGAGCATCTTTAATCCCTTAAATTTGCTATAGTGGAGCACCTTTAGTCCTACTAACAGAATTTGGTAAAAAAACTGACGGTGACTATCACCATACCACATGCCAATCACGTAACTCTTATTAAAAGCCAAACAGTAAAACAACTAAACCCATTCCCGATTTTTCCAATTTCATAGTCCCCATTCACCCTATACTTCTGAAGAAAAGCGTGGATTAAAGGAAAAGGCAAGAAAATTTTAAGTACAATTTATGCTGTCCATCTATAATCATACAAAGACTCTATTTCAACTTATTTCTACACAAACAACCTATTGTCATAGAATCTGGATTAGGTGGTGGTACTAAAATCTATATATATGTGTGTGAAAATTTTAAATCAAAGAAAATTTTAAAAAAGAAAAGCCAGATTGCACACAAAATCAGTGCCACAATCTCATCCAAATAAACACATCAATAAACACAGAGAAAACACATACAAAATGCGAACAATAAATATTCATCAGTGGCAGTATCACAACGTCTTCAATGACATTGTCAATTGGCATGCCATGGTATCATCAAACTTCGACTGCCATCTCAATTTAATCCACGTTGTCGCTTCGACCGAATCGAATCCGTAGGGTTCCTTGGATACTTCAATTTTCTTTTTGATTCTCTGCTCGATGAAGCTGTTCTTCTTCGGAATAGGGTTTTGACTGGTTGAATTGGGGTGAGGAATAAGGAAACGAGTTTATGTTTACTGCCTGTCTTTATTTTTTTTTACTGGTCACGTGAGATGTTCATGGAATCACCATTAGTTTTTACGAGAGTTAACCAAATTCTGTTAGTAGGACTAAAGGCGCTCTACTTTAGCAATCTTAAGGGATTAAAGATACTTAAGGGAATAGTTAAAGGATAAAGTTAGACCTACTCTCAAAGATAAGGGATAATTTTGGCTAAAAACTCTAAAAACTTATGGGTATTCTCAGTTTACATCCAACCAATAAACGCAAGATAGAGATCTCGCAAACACACATGTATCATTTAATCATGGTTAGTGATATATTTTCTCGCTTTGATTTTTAATTGGTAAGGTTAAATTTTGTACTTTGGTATAAACATAATTTGCAGATAATATTTACCTATAAAAACTTACTCGCCTTGGATGTTATCAAATCTCATTAATTTACTATACTTAGGGGATAAATTAAGGAACAAATATATATTATATATTTATTGAATTGATTTAAACACCGCAAAAAATAAGTTTTTACGGTTTAGCCATATACGTGTAGGTGTTGTGATTTGAGAGGAAAAAGAAAGAAACATGTAAAATATTACATGCACGAGATGTTCACGTCAAACCAATTAATACAAAATACGTGTCGTCCATATAAATTATAGCAATTAATCATAGTTAATTTATATATATTTTGACTGAATTTTTATCTTAAAATTAGATTATTTGATTTGACATGGGGTGAAGAAAATACAGCTCAAAGAAGCATAGGTGGCATGTCGGGCATGTGAAATGGTGGAGTGGTTAGGAATCATTAAGGACGTGCTAACTGTAATGAAAGAACATGGGCTTCTTCTGCCCATAACTGTCGTTTTCCTACGTATTTTTATTCAATCATTATTTTTGGGGTTAAGAAAGAAATTAATATACGGTGGATTGCTAGCTGTGATATTTGGTTTTTGAAGACTAAGGTGACAGTCTTAAAAGCTGAGGTAATTCGATTTTTATGGTTATTGATTGGTTTTCATACGCAAAGAATTTGGTTCTTAAACGACACAAATACTATCTAATGTCATATCATTTTTGTTGGAAAAATTGTTATGGAGGATAGGATTTAACTTGAGGCGTGTCAAGAATATTGTCCTCAAGGATATTTCATCCATATAATAATGAATAAAATTAGGCGTATACCCTAGGATTCAATAAGTTCTTTCAACTATAAAACTGAGAACAGAACTAGCAGAAAATTCAAAAAAGAAACCGAGCATATAGAAGGAAGAAGATGATTCAGAAAGTTATGCTAGAAAGTGTCTATTTAGCTCTTCAAAGATCATGTTTATATAGGTGTTGCTCTAACGGCTAGATAACGGCTAGTAACGCCGAGTTTAACTCTATTAAGTGTAAAATAATTTACTAACTAATAAGTGGATGTAAATAATATTTTAAAGAGAAAAGATATTTAAAACCAAGATGGACATTACCTTTTGAGATATCACTAATTTTACAACAATCTCCCACATATCTCAAAAGGGATATAAAAAAATAAATCGTAAACAAAAAAAGAAAGAGAGTATAATTTGCTGGATTTCAGGTATAATGAAATTCATCTGGTGTCTTATAGACTATGAAGCAAATATAGATAAAATAAGATTTAACTTACAGAATAATTGGGGAAGTTGATAACAACTAATAAACCAAAAATCCTTGTGGTATGTTAGGGACCTTATTCATCATATTATACCCTCACAATTTCTGTTGTTATCGCAGTTTTGCGCTAATAGGCCATGTGCGTGCCTCGTTTTCATGAGTGCTCTTGAAATTTTGCTACAAATTTCATAGGAGCGGCCCTGCTCCACACTCATATAGGTCCATCTATCAAGTGTATTTTGCAGCACAATACACCATCTACAATAGGCTATGGATTATCGGATTAAGAGTTTAATAACTCAACTTCATGTTCCTTGCAATCTTGTACTATATACACAAACCATAGGAAGGGACATAATTTAATAGCGCACATTTGATCAACTAATGACTTGTTATTACCCATATGAACCTATTTCATGGGATCTCCAATCACGTAGGTTTGATTACCATCATTGTTGATACATCTCAAATTGGCAAAAGTCTCAACCCCTCGATGTTTCACTTATAAGTCAAAGGATCAGCCAAATCCTCTTTTGA